ACAACACTTAAAAAAATTCACACAATCACGATCAAGGAATACTACAAATAAAACACTGTGGCACTTCTGTGCACAACAAAAAAAATAGGGGTTTGTTCAAATGTCAGGATTGTTAACGATCTGCAATCGTGTAAAGTGATATTGTCGCATGATGTTCAAAAATAGGGGTTTGATCAAATGTCAGGATTGTTAACGGTCTGCAATCGTGTAAAGTGATATTGTCGCATGATGTTCAAAAATAGGGGTTTGATCAAATGTCAGGATTGTTAACGGTCTGCAATCGTGTAAAGTGATATTGTCGCATGATGTTCAAAAATTCTTTTTTATGAAAAGTTAAGAAATATAAATTATTCTTATTCATCCTGCATAAACTTTACTTTTATCCGCTAATGTTAAAATATCTTTTATCTTTCATTTATAATTCAATAAAATATTTTATTTTAAAGGTTGGAAATGAAATTTGATCAAATATTGTATATCATGTATGGCATATATTTGAATTGTCTGTTTCTATGTTTGTGTCTGATAAACGAACGTCAAAAACGCATATTCTTCTGATCAGGCTCAAATTTTTGTGAACACTAACACAACACCAGGATAGGTTTATGACCGGTCGAAATGAAGGAGCTTAATACTCGTCACAAACGCTTTTTGATATTCCCTATATCTTTGTCACCAGATTATTATTCAACAAAATTCATAGTTTGGATTTATAGGTTTGCGACATCAGGTTGTGATGATGGGAATTTAACAAATTGCCTCCAAAAATGCCAATTCTCAAAATGTTTGGAAATCTACCGTAGAAAACAGGAAAATTTGCAACATGTTCCGTAGAAAACAGGAAAATTTGCGATATGTTCCGTAGAAAACAGGAAAATTTGCAACGTGTTCCGTAGAAAACAGGAAAATTTGCAACATGTTTAGTAGAAAACAGGAAAATTTGCAATATGTTCCGTAGAAAACAGGAAAATTTGCAACATGTTTAAGCTTAGAATTGAATATTTTTCTTTAACTAAAATATCTTCATCTTTTTCGGCTTAACAGTGTTTTATTGTGATAATTTATCTTACTATTCACACACTTCTAGAGTTTTGTTTATCTTAAGGAAATTTCTATTCAAAAAGTTCTATTTTTGGTAGAATTTTCTTATCATAAAATCTCAATTTAAACCTAAATAATGCAATTTTTCCTAAAATTTCAGGCCATTACTAATCACCACAGGAGTTGTTTTTGTAGTGTAGGGTCTAGGGGTGTACGCACTACGCATAACATACATATCTCTTAATACATGTACAAAAAAAGTAACCCCGACAATTTTTTAATTCTCCTAAAAATAGTTATTTAATTTAATCTTTTTAATATTTGTCTAAACTTGTTTGGCCCCTGTTTATACTTTATACTACAGTCGGGAAAGATCAAAACAGACCAAACATATGGGCAAATTATCAAAGACAAATTAATAAACCATAATTCTTAATATCCATTAATTCTAGCTGGACCATTCTCACAAATACATCCAAATATATTAACATTATTCAATATTTACCAAATTACCAAATTACCAAAATTTAAAGATATTAGGTACTTTCCAAAAGGCCTTTTTCCAAGCGATAACTTCCCAAGGGTATTTTCCCAATTCCCAAATCCTAGCCGCAGCGCTCAGTCCCATTGCAACCTGCGGCACCTTAGAAGGCCTAACCTAACCTTAGGGAAGTTGCCGCTTTTGAAATTGCAAATTTGGGAAGGCCACTTCGGACATTGTCACTTGGGAAGTCGCCCTTGGGAAAATGTCTTTGGGAAAGTACCTAACACCAATATATATATTATGTATATCTTAAAACTTCTTTAAACTAAAACAAAAGCAAGTGCTTTATCACTGCAAACAAAGATGCGCGTTGCATTTTAAAATGTATATTCCCAGGGCTACAAAAAAGTATAATTGAGTGGTCGAGGTAAAACCAGGACATTGCGACACTTTAAGTCAAGACTAATTTGATAACTTACTTTCAGACCTGTCTACAATTCATTGTTATAATTTGTTAAATATGTTTGTAAGTTAATCAGTTAAAGCGTTGCGACACTTCAAAGTCGACCCAGCAAATTTTCAAGGTAGGATCTGACCGAGTAACTTCTTCCTGTTGTAGAATTATGATTTGATTTTGAATTATTTGATGTATATAGTTAATGAATGATGAACGAGGATTGGATGAATTAATTTTCTAAATATTTAATTAAAATCTTGATGAGCTCGAACCTTGATCAATATTGGTTCCATCATTCAGAATTCAGAATTCATACAGGACAAATTTTAAGAAAACTTTTAATATATTTCAAGAGATATTTTTTATTTTCTAAAGTGATTGTAAAAAGAAACATATAAATAATTAAGTATTATCTAAGACAGTTGAGGAAGACTTTAGAGGAATTGATGGTGTAAACCTTTGATATTTGATAAAGATTATATATTTTATCTCTATTCGAATATATCTAATCTCTATTCGAATAAATATAATCAATTTTAGAATATATCTAATCTTTATTAGAATACATCTAATCTCTACTAGAATATATCTAATATCTATTAATATATGTAATCTCTAGTAGAATATATCTAATATCTATTAATATATGTAATCTCTAGTAGAATATATCTAATATCTACTAATATATGTAATCTCTAGTAGGATATATCTAATATCTATTAATACATATAATCTCTATAAATCTTATCTCTATTAGAAGATATCTTATCTCTATCTCTATATATTCCTCATCTCTATTACAATATCTTTCAAAGAAGATATTTAAGAAAGATTAGAATATATCTAATCTCTATTCGAATATATCTAATTACTTTTAGAATATATCTAATCTCTTTTCGAATATATCTTATATCTATTAAAATATATCTAATTACTTTTAGAATATATCTAATCTATATTCGAATATCTAATCTCTATTAGAATATAAAATCTGTAATTAGAATATATATAAGCTCTATTAGAGTATATTACCCTTAACTAAGCTTTTGGTGCGATCTGCAGTATTTTGGAGATATATTAGCGTTTTGTGGAAAGTGATATAATCTGTGTTTAAAATAATATAATCTCTATTCGAATAAATTCACACTTTAGTAAAACATATCTAATCTACTGTAGAAAATATCTAATCTTCTGTAGCAAATATCTAATCTCCTGTAGAAAATATCTAATCTCTGACAGAAAATATCTAATCTCCTGTAGAAAATATCTAATCTTCTGTAGAAAATATCTAATCTCCTGTAGAAAATATCTAATCTCTGACAGAAAATATCTAATCTCCTGTAGAAAATATCTAATCTCCTGTAGAAAATATCTAATCTCCTGTTGAAAATATCTAATCTCCTGTTGAAAATATCTAATCTCTGACAGAAAATGTCTAATCTTGATCTAGTATGTGTAGTAAATCTCCATTCTCCAGTATATTATCTAAATATTCTCATGATGAATATTTCAATATCTCCGGTATTTCTATATGCGTATGCGTAATGTATAGTGATGTAAAGGGGAGGAGCCCTGAAATTGGTATTCAAGAAATATGGGAAAAGATTGGACAGCAGATAAAGATATTGGACATATATGAATTATGAAGATTGGCCGGTGAACTCGAGGGGATGGGATGTTACGTAAAAATTTACTGTTCAGACATGAGAATCGAGTATTAGAGATATAGGGGTCAAAATATCGTAAAGTTTAAAAACCACGCAACCTCTCCAAGGTTTATGAATGAATTACAGATTTATATCTAAAATATGAATCATAATCACGTTTCTATATATATTCCTTAACAAGCTTATATAGACCAGAGAAACCAGGCCTAAAATATGCCAAACCAAACTAATTCAAAACCAGACCAAGCCAAACCACCAAACTACATGCCATCATTTAGATTAGTACATTTCTAATAAAAATCTTAAATTTTAAAGCTGTTTTTCTAGGTAAAGTGTACGAACGCGTCTTGTGTAAACTATGTGAGTAAAAGTGTACACTGTACATAGATCAGCAGGTGTATAATTAGCGCATTTTCCAACCCAACTGAGCGCCATTTTCTCTGTTCAATATATCACCCCCTACCCAGTTAACAACAGGAAAAATACAGTCTCAAAAACGTGAAAATTTATAAAAATAGTTGCGAGCTCTGTAATTAGTAGATTTGGAGGAAGCTAAGATTTATTGGGACCAGGGCTTCACGGGGAAAAAGTGAAAGGTGTCCCGCAGTGGGACAAATCAACCTTTTAAAGAGAAAGTTTAAACTTTTATTGCGCCCATTTTTAGGATTTTATTTTTAACCTAAAACTTATAAAATCTGGAATCTGGCAAATAAAACTAGAACTCAGTTTATTTGGCTGCAATGAAAAACGATTCTCTAAATAAAACTTTGAAATTGACGAAGAGCCAACCTAATATAATTATATTGCCTAATTATACAGATTGCATGTAGATTGAATGCTATATCCTTGCATCCTCTACCCCCCCCATTCACTTCTCCTCCCTTCGCTTCCGATTCAATCACGCGATTTCCATTCGTTGAATACCAATTCTCACATCATCTCCTATCATCTTGATTTATACAATATTGTTGAAAATATAAAAGTTTCAAAGCCCCCAGTTCCCACAATTATAAAAAATGTAAGCCAAAGTGCACAGATTGAAAGTGAAAGGAGGAATGAAGTTTTCTAAACGATTTCCGAGGATTATTCCCAGCTGCAATCCGGATTTTTAATGCAATACAGGCGGGAGGGAGGGAGAGAGAATTCGAGATTGCAGCAGCCGTAGCTCTCTACCCTCCCCCTCATATACCCAAGATTAATTTTCAAGTCCTTGCCCCCTGAATGCCCAGAGAGCCGCGGTACGTTTCTTATTGGTCGGAAAATAAATTGATTTTGGAGGTTTGAGCGAACCGGAATGGGTCAGTTAGCATTAGCCGCCTCCGGACCCGAGTCCGCCGAACAGAAAATCCGCGGATATGATGGTGAGACCGGCGGGAGCGGCAGTGCGGCGCCCCGACCCTCCGCGCATTTCCAGAGTGGATTTCACCGTGGAAGGACACAGTGCAGGCAGTCCAGTGGATTATCCCTTAAGAATGCCTGATATGGAGATTTGTGCGGAGTGTCATAGACACATAGAGGATCAATACGTTCTTAGAGTAGGGGACAGTTCACTTCATCAAGAGTGTTTAAAGTGTGCAAGCTGTAGAACACCGCTAACAGATTCTTGTTTTTCTAAATTTGGACAGTTTTATTGTAGACAAGACTTTTATAGAATGTTCGGACCCCGATGTGCATCTTGTCAACTAGTGTTCACGGAGACAGACAAGGCTAGAAAAATAGGAGAATCTCTTTTTCATACTCATTGTTTTACATGCAGAGATTGCTCTGCTAATCTGACAGAGGGAGACAAGGTGGGTTGTGATCACAGAGGAAATTTGTTCTGTGAGATAGATTACATCAAACATAGCAACAGTTCAGAAACTAGTTCAGACGACACCAGCCAGTACTTTGATCTGGACAACAGTAACACACGGGGTAGTGACGAGCTGACCGTAAAGCGTGAGTCCCAAACTCCAGACTTAAACAACTCCGACGATGATGCTGATTCTAAGATGGATGGTGAGATTGGGAAGGATGGGAAGAGACGAGGCCCAAGGACCACCATTAAAGCCAAACAGCTTGAAGTGTTAAAAACTTGCTTTGATCAGAATCCGAAACCGACAAGACAAGTGCGGGAACAATTAGCTAAAGAGACAGGGTTACCCATGCGTGTGATCCAAGTCTGGTTCCAGAATAAGCGGAGTAAACAGAAGAGAATAAACCAAATGCAGTTTATAACTGGTCACCGATTCCCGCCGCACATGGGCATGCCCTTCCCGCCGCATCCCTGGGGACCGCCGGGTCATTGTTTCCCTCCGGGAGGAATGCCGGGAGAATTCCCACCTCCACCCCATATGTTCCCTCCGAACTTTGATCCCTCCTGCGGTCCCCCTGGACCCCCTCATCATGAGTATAGTCCCTATCCTCCCTACTCTGGTCCAGATTATCATGATCAAAGTGGACGCATGTCTGAATCTCCCAACCATTGTTATCCATCTCCACCGACCCAATCTAGTGATTTCCAAGGGGTGGACTACCCCTCTCCCCGGGAGTACCCCCCTGAGCCCTGCTATCCCTCCCCGCCCCTGGATTTCTCCTGCCCCCCTGACTACCATGAAGAGGATGTCAGGATAAAACAAGAACTATCTACACACTAGAACCCTCATAACCTATACCCTGTTAGGCAAATAGTACAGGCTGTTCATCAAAATTAATCCCAACATTTTTCTTGAACACCCTGTAGTTGCAAATTGCTGTTCCTATGTGTCATTCTCTGTTGTCTGTGATAAATAATTGCTGAAAATAATTTAACTTATATGAATTTAATAAAGAATTAATGTGATTCTAAGTATAATTAGTAAAAACTCACCATTTAGCATGAAAAACTAAAGATAAAAGTCTATAAGTTAAATTATTGTTAATAATAATAATGATTGTTTTATTATTATTATCATTTTCTCAAACTTTTATCTTTACTTTTTCAGGCAAAATGGTGGATGTTTAGTAGAGAGCGAGACAGGGAGGTTTGGTGAAGAAATCCGTGAAAATGGGTTGAGAATGGGTTTAAAAATGGCCGAATCTTGTATTTGTGTACTCTGCAAAGTACCAATTAATGACAGTTTTGTTATGAAAGTGGGACTAGCGGCACTCCACGAGTCCTGTTTGAAGTGCCACACATGTGGCTGTTCTCTCACCCATACCTGTTTCCTAAAAACAGGCCACTTTTACTGCAAACAGGACTTTTACCACATATTCGGACCAAGGTATAAAGTTTTTAAAAGTACGAATCCAAAAGTTTTTACATTTCTGATTTTTACCAACTTAAAACGATGATTTTAAAATTCAATTTCCTATGAATGTTGGTAGTCTTTCTCTCCAAGTTTTTGTATTGCGCTGAGGGTAAAACATCTCATTTCGTTTTTGCAATTTCTTGGAAGTAAATTTCTTGTCCCTGAATAGATATAGTAAAAGGAAATGGTAAAATACACTATAAGGAATTCTAATTTTTTAGAAACATGGAAATTTAATCAATAAAGTATGGAGAGTGGAAAACACTTTAAATCGGTTTAAAAAATATTGTTTTTTGGTACGCGGGATTTCCAATATAATTGTGCTCGCTTATAACGCCTCCAAACTGTATACGGGTTTAGTGCGTTTTATACCATGTTAGAATTTCATTTAATTTCTATACACGAAAGAAAGACAGAAAGAAAGAAAGAAAGAAAGAAAGAAAGAAAGAAAGAAAGAAAGAAAGAAAGAAAGAAAGAAAGAAAGAAAGAAAGAAAGAAAGAAAGGAAGAAAGAAAAAAAGAAAGAAAGAAAGAAAGAAAGAGAGGAAAAAAGAAAGAAAGAGTGGAATGAAACCCTGAGATTTAACTTTATTTTTCTGTGAAGTTTGCCAAAGAAAACTATTCATCTTCAATGTGAATGAAAAATTTTAGAACAGTTTTAACTTTCAGTCGTATTTTCAATTGGTAATTACAACAGGGGATTGATCGTATTTAGTTTTAATATAATATTATAATATTGTCTTTAATGTTAATTATGTTTATTGATATGCTGGTCGTATTTTCCTTTATTTTTCATCAATTCTTTTTATATTTTCTTTAAATTCATTTTTCAGAGTTTTCTCCAAAAATTCCTTTATCATTATTAATTTCTACAGTCTACAGGGTTACCCAAGAAAAAGTGTTAGTTTCTTTGCAAAGAAGTAAAAAAGAACTAAAAACTCAGTTTTTCTGATTCCTATATCTTGGAAAGATATTGGGATCAGAAAAAGTGGAGTCGAGTTTTGATATTTACAAATAGTCAAAATTCAAAATATCAAAGTTTTACAGCATCCTGTTTCAAAGATATATGGATTAGAAATATAGCTATTAGCAAGTGTTCAGTTTTTCTACAAAGAATGTTTTCTTATTTTTTATTGATTTAACCATACTCTTTTACAGTAATTAATCTTAAACTAATTATAAAAAAAATTCTTGCAATTCTATTTACGGCCAAAAAAATAGATAAAACTTTAAGAGGACCACTAAAAATCTAACCATGGTTTTTAGCATCAAGAGTTTTTAATTCTTGTTTTATTTCTCTCTAGTATCCTTCAACTATTTTATAGTTTAAAATACTAAATTTTCTTTTTATCATATAATCGAAAACTGCTTCCACTTCAAACAAAATTTGGCTTTCTATTTTTATTGTTAACAAATTAGCCCCCCCCCCCTCCCCCCGATCTAAAGGTATTCACTTCCTTTCTAAGTTTTTTAGTATAAAAAGTTTGAAAAATAAATGTTTACGGTTTCCCCTGGAATCTCTGGTTCTCCGTCCTTTTGTTCTTTTAATGAAAAAATGCTTCCACGTTTTGTTCGAATTCCTAATCTCAATTTCTCCAGGACTCTTTCAAGACAATACACCGGGGACTACGAGAATACAGGGTGTCACAAGAATAGTAATTAAAAATAATCATCTAATTTTGTCCTACAATTAAGTTATTTCATATTTATCCTTGACATTTGAAATTATTTTCAAATTTTTAAATTAGTTTTGACACCCTGTAATATTTTAGTCTTGGAAGGCAGGGTCGTATAATCTACAGGCTACCGTCACTTATTTATTTTCAAAATATTTTCAAATCCAGAACATCTGAAAAAATGTTTTTGATACTTTTCTTAAACTCTGATGTGTTGGTTCTTTTTATCTTTGCAACCTGATTTCGTTCATGTTTTATATGTTAGAAACAATTTAATATAAGGGGTTAAATATGCAAGGCTTAGCAGTGGATTTAATTCGCATTAGAAACGAGCACATAAAAAAAAATTTTTTTTCAAAATTCTAATTCACAAAATTCTAAAAAATGGAAAACAGAAAATATTACAACTTGTTCTTATCCTTTTTTAGAAGTTTTTATAACAACACTCAAAAGAAAGGAAATGAGTCTTTGCCACAAACTCTTATTTAAGACTATTTATATCTTTGCGACCTGATGGTATAACCCTTTAATATTTCAAAGTTAGAGAATTTAATCTTACAGAATTCATAGTTTGAAATAACTAAGGTGTACGACATTGGGTTGTAAAGATATAGGAATTAAAAAAATTAGATTTTGTGGCACAAATGAGATTCCTGTAAACTGGAGAAACATATAAAGATACAGTTCATACATTATCTTGTAATCAATTATATAGCTTTTTACTCTTCATTCATGTAAAACATTTTCTGTGTTATTCGTTCAAGAGAAAACCAATCTAAAGGTTTCGTGTTTTTTTTATAAAATATATTCACAAATTAGCGTTTGTTAAAAGGAATCGTTCACTGTTTACAAAAATTAAAGAATTTAGAATGAATTCTTGTAAAATGGTATTTACTATAAATTCTATCCGGTGTTTCTGTAAGGTGGTTGACATAGGCTGTTCGTCAAGTGTAACTCAATTACCAGAGAGAAACCGGGGTTTCGTATAAAAAATAATCATATTCACTTTTTAAAGAAAAGTATATAATCGAGTTAAAAGATATTATCTATCAATTCATACCTCAATAAAATTTTTCCTATATATACTATCTTCACATGTTCGCGAATTATTTCTTTCATGTAATTTAATATAAAAATGCATGTTTTTTCTAAAGAGCTATAATAAGAATCGTCAAAGTTACCAAAAAAGTTTACCTTTTGTTTAATTTTAAAAGGAAACTTACGAAGTCGCAAAGTGCATAAAATAAACTTCCTCATGTCAAGATTGGAATGAGCAACTAAAATCTCTAAAAATTGATTTTTTTCCTAGGTGTGTTGGTTGTCAGTTGACGTTTGCTGGATCTGAAAAGGTTCGGAAAATACAAGATTCTTTCTTCCACGGACAATGTTTCAAATGCTTCGATTGCGCAATAGGAAATTAAAATATCTATCAGAAATAAACTCCACCCCCCCCCCCTTCACGACATAGTTCTATTAAATCCTGTATCCTTAATCCATTCCTCTCCTTAATCTCATCCTTAATAAACTCCATCTCCTTAAAATCATATTTAAGTAAATTCTCTCCTTTATCTAAAAACAAATCCTCTATTCTTATCTAACATTAAATCCTCTGTTATCTATCTAATATATAATCCTCTATTCGTTATCTAACATTTAATCCTCTGTTATTAATCTAACATCTAATCCTCTATTCGTTATCTAACATTTAATCCTCTGTTATCTATTTAATATTTAATACTTTATTTTTTATCTAATTTTTAATCCTCTATTCTTTATCTAATTTTTAATTCTTTATTTTTATCTAAATTTTAATCCTCTATTCTTTATCTAATTTTTAATTCTCTATTCTTAATTTATCATCAATCTAATCCTTTAGTTATTATGTGACATGTAATCCTCTATCCTCCAGTGTAAAGTATACACTATTAGCTGGTGACTGAATCCAACTTAATTCCTTATAAACTCATTACCCTCCTTCTTTAACTACTAGAAAGGTTAAAACCCTCAATTACCCGACTGTGATTAGGGTAATTCAAATTCAGAATTAAGGGGGGGGGGGGTTCACACATTTCTGAGAACCTTGCACAAATCTTATAATTGCAGCAGTTACACTTCAGGGGTAAAATGGAAGATATTTTTTTCTCATTTAATGCAATTTCGTTTATTGTTATTGTTAATAATGCATTTTTAAAGAGCATATATTTGCCCCTGTAAACTAGAAATAGTAAAATTTTGAACTCTATTTAATAGTTTTAAGCTAAGGGTGTAATTTAGGTTTAAAACAGTCAATTTCCTTTACATTTCTCACGTTGACATAAAAAACCAAAAAATGAGCCCCCCCCCCTTCTTGTCCTAATTTCTTTTACTAATCCTTTAAACGGACTGTGGTTGTAATTTCAAATAACCCTCCATTTAAAGAGGAAGAAACTCATCAATAATATGGGAAATATCGTCGTTTAACCAGTGTTTAATTCTCAGAATTTCTCCATACGTCATTTTTACAACAAAACCAAAATTGAAAATAACCAATTATTTAAAGAGAAATCAAGGATATCTCACTTATTCTTTATCAGACGAAATGTTCAAGGGTATCGTTGTTCATCGGACATGTCATTCTTTTTTAATTTAACGGTCACATTCCCAATAAAAAATGCGACCTCTCCCTTTAATGAATATTTTAATCTGCCCAGATCTGAGTAAAGCTTCTAGAATAGGCTCAGACGGAAACGGAAATATTCTTTGTGAATTCCACTTTAACAAGCACAAGCTCATCCTCAGTAGACGAAAGGGGGACGAGTTGGACGAGTCGGAGATGGACGAAAAATCCGTTAAAAAAGAGTTCGAGGAATGTAAAGACATAAAGGACGAGAGTGATATGAAAGGACGAGCTGTGATCAAGGATGAGGACGAGGACGAAGCAAGGGACGAGGATCCGAAAGCTAAACGGAAACGCGGACCAAAGACGACGATCCAACCGAACCAGTTGACGATTCTTCGAACTTGTTTTGATAAAAACCCTAAACCTAGTCCAAAAATATTCGAAGAATTGTCCAAAGACACCGGACTCACAAAGCGCGTAATACAGGTGAAATAATTTTAACATTTTAATCTAAAAATATTTTTTTTCTTTATAGATTATTTTATTATGACATATTTATCTTTAGGTTTGGTTTCAAAACCGGAGAAGTAAAAAGAAACGAATCAACAATATGCAGGCTCTGATGCAGGTTGGGTTTGGTCAGGATCAGTATCAGGGTTGGGATCAACCTCTCCATCCGTCCTGCTACCCCTTCCAGCATCATTCCTTCACCAACCTCTCCTCCTACCAGGAGAAAATGCTCATGTTTGAGAATACCGAACAAGGATATGGGAACCAAGACTGTTTTCCCTCACCCCCTATTCTTCCATCAGATTTCCCCATCTCAGATTTCCCCCTGGAGGAAACCCTGCAGGGGGGAATTTTCCCCTCCCCCGACTCCTGATATTACACCCCCTGCAACCCAGTAGAGAAATCTGAACCTGGGATATAACTTTGTAGTTTAAACAAGTTTGACGAGAAATATTCAAATATTCAACCAGAATCCAACTTTCAGGTTTCACAACTCATTTCTCTGGATGGACCTTGGAGCACAGAACACTGAGTTCTTGTTCCTTCGAGTTTACCGGAGAGTAGGACACTCTGAGTTCATGTTTCTCCGAATGGGCGGAAGAGTATATGGAGACAATAAGTTTTTGTTTCTCTGGGTTAACCAACAATTAGAACTAAGAAATTGAGATATGTTCCTTTGAGTAAACCGAGTACTTGTTTCTCCGAGGATACCGAAGAGTAGGATATATGTTTCGCCGATTGAACCAAGTACTTGTTTCTCCGAGTCTACCGAAGAGCAGGATATATGTTTCTCCGATTGAACCAAGTAATTGTTTCTCCGAGTCTACCGAAGAGCAGGATATATGTTTCTCCGATTGAACCAAGTACTTGTTTCTCCGAGTCTACCGAAGAGCAGGATATATGTTTCTCCGATTGAACAAAGTACTTGTTTCTCCGAGTCTACCGAAGAGCAGGATATATGTTTCTCCGAAGTACTTGTTTCTCCGAGTGGGCCGGATAATACGGCACACTGAGCCAAACGTTTAACTACAGACTTGTGCCATAATTATGCAACTGCTAATTTAAATCTTTGAAATAAGGAAAAAGAAGAATGGAGGTGTTTCAAAGTAGAGTTATACAACTAAAATGGAGGCTTGAATATGAAATGGAGGTGTTAATCTAGAAAGGAAATGCAAAGCAGAATATTTGGGAGTAAAGTTAGAGAGATGCCATGAAACTGAAAGAGAGTTGTTTAATAGAAATATAAGTGTGAACATGGAGGTTCCCATCTAAAATGGAGATGTAAACTAGAAGTGCTAGACTAGAATGGAAAATGGAGGTACAATCCTAAAAGAGCGATATAAAACTGAACGAGAGGTGCATACATTAGATGGAGGTGTACAACTGAAATGGAAAGGCAATCCTAAAATATCACACAACTAAAATGGAGGCGTGGACCCGATTGAAGGTGTAAAGCTGAGATGGAAGTGCGAAATTGAAAACTAAACTAATTCTGAAGGGGGTTCGAAAAACTAAATGTGACTCGTACTAGATTGAAGCTAAGAACTTAACCCGGAGGAGAAATCAAGAACCTTGTGATAATTTAATCGGGAAACTTCCATTCGGAAGGATCGTAATGTTCTTGCTCTTGCATTCATCATTAGTCATCCTGAATTATTCATCATCCTTCATCCTTCATCCATTATCTAGTTTATCGAAATACACAGACCTGGTGTATATTGTTTAGTAGTTATTATACAATTGATATTGATCTCTTCTCAATGTTAATAAAATATTGAATTTTAAATCAATCATAGTGTGCAGTGGTCTAAATTGTAGATAATATTGCAGATTATGTTGCAGATTATATTGCAAAATTGAAGATTATATTGCAAAATTGAAGATTATATTGTAGATTATATTGCAAAATTGAAGATTATATTGTAGATTAAATTGCAAAATTGAAGATTATATTGAAGATTATATTGCAAAATTAAGGATTATATTGCAGTTATATTGTAGATTATATTGTAGATTATATTGCAAAATTGAAGATTATATTGCAGTTTATATTGTAGATTATGTTTTAGATTATATTGTAGATTAAATTGAAGATTATATTGTAGATTATATTGTAGATTATATTGTAAATTATATTGTAGATTAAATCGTAGATTATATTGTAGATTATATTGTAGATTATATTGTAGATTATATTGTAGATTATATTGCAGATTATATAATATATAAGATGTAGATTATATTATAGATTATGTTGTCGATTGTATTGTAGATTATACTGTCGATTATATTGTAGATTATATTTTAGATTATATTGTAGATTAAATTGAAGATTATATTGTAGATTATATTGTAGATTATATTTTAGATTATATTGTAGATTAAATTGAAGATTATATAGTATATAATGTTGTAGATTATTTTGTAGATTATATTGTATATTATATTGTAGATTATATTGTGAATCATATTGTAGATTATATAGAAGATTATATTGTAGATTTTATAGTAGATTATATAGTAGATTATATTGTAGATTATATTGTAGATTATATTGTAGATTATATTGCAGATTATATAATATTTAAGATGCAGATATTGTAGATTATATTGTAGATTATATTGCAGATTATATAATATATAAGATGTAGATTATATTATAGATTATGTTGTCGATTGTATTGTAGATTATACTGTCGATTATATTGTAGATTATATTGTAGATTATATTGTAGATAATATAATATAAAAGATGTAGATTTTATTGCAGATTATATTGTAGATCAAAAGGTTGATGATAAGTTAGAAAAATTAGATGTTTATCAAAAGGGTTCAAAACATCAATGTCCTAGAATGAAGTTATAAAACGGCTTTTATTAAAAACAATAAAGGATCTATGGACGTAACAAAAGTAGTGGCACGTATGATTCACAACGGTACACTTGCAAGCTTTGGTTTATCAAGAATGAGATATTTCTCTTTAAAAAAAATTGGTTATATTCTGTAGACTCTTTAAGAGTAACTTGCGTTTTTCTACCTTAAAATATTTGCAATTCTTAGAATAAAACAGTTTTTAAGTTGGAAAAAATGGCAATTAACAAAATCTTCTACATTATTCATAAGATAAAGCTTTCTAGGGTACCGTTGTGAATCAGCTATGACCCTCTAAATAAAGGAGTCTTTAAAATTACAGCAACATTCCTTTTAATTTAAAGAATATAAACACGTTTAAGGTATAGCAATAAAAAATATCTATTAAATTGTTAAAAATGGAAATTGAGCAAAGACAAGGTAAATTTCAAAAAAGAAAAAAAAATTAGCGATAAGGTCTTTTTTCAAGAAAAAGAAGATTTTAGTCGTTTTATGTTTGATATGAATCTATAAAGTACTAGGAATAAAAACGCAAACACATTTTGTAAAAAAAATTTGGAAAGGAACCATCATATTATTTTGTTTAAAAAGAATTAATGAAAAAAAGAATATTTGGAAAAAGTAAAACTGACATTTTCTGGAATAAAAAACAATTATGGGTAGTATATCTGTAATTATGATAGATGGAGAAAGTTAGAATGTTATGTTTCTTATTCTAAACTATTGAACGAGGTTGCGTGATTACTTTATACTAAAAATACTTTGAAACAAGATACTGCATTGTTGTATATATAATATAATTTTCATTTATAATACCATTTATTCAAAAGGCTTTGTTGTAAAATAAATGAGTTTCTTCCACAAATTTGTATTCTTAAATCCCTATATATTTGCAACCAGATGTTGTAAACCTTTGATATTTCAAGCTGTGAATTATGTCAAATAAAATTATCTAAACAGTCCAAATATTATATATATGTAGTCTGACATATATATAATATTTTACTTCACCCTGTATTCCGACATAGATATAGGATTTACTTCACCCTGTATTCCCACACAGATATAGGATTTACTTCACCCTGTATTCCGACACAGACATAGGATTTACTTCACCCTGTATTCCGACATAGATATAGGATTTACTTCACCCTGTATTCCTACACAGATATAGGATTTACTTCACCCTGTATTCCCACACAGATATAGGATTTACTTCACCCTGTATTCCGACATAGATATAGGATTTATTTCACCCTGTATTCCAACATAGATTTAGGATTTAATTCAACTTGTATTCCGACATAGATATAGGATTTACTTCACCCTGTATTCCGACATAGATATAGGATTTACTTCACCCTGTATTCCGACATAGATATAGGATTTACTTCACCCTGTATTCCGACACAGATATAGGATTTACTTCACCCTGTAGTCCGACATAAATACATGATTTAACTTCACCTTGTAGTCCAATATTCATATATGATTTTACTTCATTCACCCTGTGGTCCGATATATATATATATATGATTTTACTTCACCCTGTAGTCCGACATAACTACATGATTTTACTTCACCCTGTAGTCCGATATATTTATATATATGATTTCACTTCACCCTGTAGTCCGACATAAGTACATGATTTAACTTCACCCTGTAGTCCGAAATAAATACATGATTTAACTTCACCCTGTAGTCCGACGTAGATAGACATTTAATTCTGGAGATGAGTGAAGAGAAGAATAGAGAACTCAATCTTTCAGAGACACGCTCTCCAGCATATCTTATCCGCCTATTTATTTGTCTATCTGTCTATATATCTATTTATTTATTATCTATCCATTTATTCATCTATTTATCTTTTTATCTATTATTCTATCTATCTGTTTATAAATCTGATATATCTTCATTTATTTATCTATCTATTTATCTCTCTATCTATCTATCTATCTATTTATCTTTATTTATATATCTATTTATCTGTCTATTAATATATCTATCTATTTATTTATCTATTTCCTTATCTATTAATCTATCTATCTATTTATTTATCTATCAATTTATCTATCTATTTATTTATTCATCTATTAATTCTATCTACCTATTTATCTATTTAGTTGTTTACCTATTTATCTATTTAATTATCTATTTATTAATACATACATATAGGGAATATATATACATTCGTATATTTGTTTTCTATAGTCGGCCAAACAGCTGGACCGAATGGGCTGACATTTTTTTAGGGAACACAGGGGTATCCAGGATTCCACGGGCAACGCCGGGCACTTCAACTGGTATATATATAATATATATATATGTAAATATTTTCTTGTTACAATTTTAACTGGTTTTCAAGTGTCGTCATTTTTTCATTGAAATCCTTCTCTCAGATTATTTTGCTTATATATACATTAAGGTAAGGGTGTGCATAGAAGGGTGCGGGGAAGGATTTATACGAAAGGGTGTGGAGAAGGGTGTATACTAGAAGGGGTGTGGGGAAGGGTGTATACTAGAAGGGGTGTGGGGAAGGGTGTGTATATAGAAGAAGGTAGGATGGGTGAAAG